ACACGCAGGAGCTTAGCCACCTCAGGAAATCTGGACATATAGAACTCTGTATATCACTCATTCATGGAAAAACAAGTAAATACTAGGTAGACCACGGGACCTCATTCATCCACATGCCATTATACACTCACATGTACACACACACAGAGTGACGGAATCAGGATTTTATCGCAAAGGGGGCCAAACAAAAATAGTGACACACTTCAAAATTCTAAGCAATGAGATCATTCAAAATGTTATTATCCAACGATTCTATGTGATACAATTGTTAAAATTAATTTGGGTTATAAAATTCAATAATTGATCATTACTCAACGTTGCAAAAATTAATTTATAATATTATAATGGTCTCCTTATTTCTTTTTCATCAATGACATGATGTAATTACTACGAACAAGTTACCAAAATAAATATTAGTTTAACGATATTATCGTAACAATGAGTTATGGGTCAGTGCATTGTCGAAGATATAAGTCATGCTTGTAACACAATGTTGCACCAACATTCCTTCTCCTTTTATCTTCTTTTGGTCATCAAACTCTTCCAAGCAAGTGTTTCCTTCCAGCTTTAAGAATAACACTCATCCATGTGATCAATATCCGTAGTTTGTTAAAATTGTCAAACCATTAAGTTTTTTCACTACAATAAATGAACTACCTATATAAATATATAAACTTTTGAAAACCCTAGAGGAGGCATAAGGTTTTTGGAAGCTTAAAGGGGTAATTTTTTAAAATGTGAGGGGAAACACGACCCCCTTTGGTCTCCAAGTAGTTCTATCACTGCATACACACACTCTTTGCAATATGTATATATATATCTAGAGAGAGAGAGAGAGAGAGAAAGAGACCTCGATTCAGGCAAAGATGTCCATTCCCAGTAGTCTGGAGTATCTCCCCACACAATCGAAAGCTCTCTTGCTCGTAGCATATAACATTTTTTCCTACTCCATTTATTTAGTATGAAGCTCTGTTTATTAACAATTACAAATATTTTAATATCAAATAAATATGCAACATATAAAAAAAAATTGTCATATATAATGTTTAGTTGTAAAAAAAATCAACCACTTAATCTCATTTTGGGTTCTACATTGCTCTATGGCCATAATGTAATGTAAAACTTCTACCATTGTGATGCTTTACTCAAAGGACCTCTTGGTTGTCGGAGGACTAGAGGAAGCACACTGCAACAATTGAAAGTTCTTAGATTAGAGGGTTGTCTAGTTTACGAGGCTTTCACAACTACAGGCTCTAGGAAAGGCTCGATGTAAGCAGCCCTACCCCGCATGAGTAGAGGTAATTTCCGCGACTCGAACCCTTGATGCTTAGGTTACAATAAAATAAACTTACCGTTGCGCCAAGACTCACCGTCAAATGAAAGTCCTTACATTAACTACAAATACTTCAGCGGAACTAGGTTCCTACGAGAAATCATGATCAAATACTAGGACAAATGATATTGTTCAATTTCCTAAAACATTACAAGCAAATTTTCAAGTTTCAGAGTGATGAACTAGACCTTAAACCTCAGCAGTCAATTTAAATGATAAAAAGCACAAAGTCCGTCTCCATTGCAATGAGCTCAAGCAGGTTCAAATTCACCTTTATAATTGAAACACATTTATTCACTCTCCTAAAACACAAGTGCATAAACATTAGTGTATAAAATGCCTTGGCTGAAAATCCCCACCAACCATCTAACCAGTAAAATAATTGTCTAGCCTGCTTCTACGACCACCCGTGGGGTTCAATCCCATATCGAATTTTAAAATTTTCATCCTTACAACCCAAAATACCCGGCGTGCTCTCATTGGATTTATCCATTCAGATTTTGTCAAATATTGCCAGTATTAGTTAGGTTCAATCTTCTACCCTTAAATTCATTTAGCCCCTTTACTATCAATTAGCTTCAAGAAACAACCTCCTAAAAATTGGGTAATGCTTCCGATCAATGATTCCTAAAAATGGACAAGCCTTGTAACAAAATAAATTAAAAAACACTATTCTCTCAAATTCTTCCGTTTTAAATCCAATTCAATAGGCCATAGTTGAATTCTTTGGATTCTAATAGGTATTGATGGAACACATAAAGCATCATACCATAGGGACCTAATGAGGACCTAACTTATTATTGAAGTTGGATTAGTTGTTAATCTAATAGTTCTAGTCTAAGAAGCATGGATACAGCAACTGGACATAGGGGCGGAGCTAGGCCATTTCTTCAGTGGGGGTAACATAAACTTCTTTAATAACTTTAAATATTTTTTTAAAAAAAATTTATGCTAGCTAATTCAAAAATCAATTCAATAGTTAGACCTTAACTCAATAACCATCATTGTGTTTTTAACAAATCAATTACAAGAAAATCATAAGTAACAAAATAAATGGAGAAATTTTAATAGTAGTAATTTAGAAAAATTAATTATATTACAACTCTATTAAGTCGAACTTAGATATGTTGGGATTTAACACGATTTAAATCCACTAGCAAACACACACAATCGAAGAACAAATCAAGAATATAAAACAATAAGAAACAAGAAAGAACAAGACACAGATTTTACGTGGTTCGGCAATTTGTCTACATCCACGAAGCTGCAGTGATTTCACTATTGAGAGAGTTGAATACAGAGAGCGGTTGTACAATCCACGATTAACCCTAATCACCAAAACAACGGGGTTTATATGTCCTACGCACTGGGCTATATAACAGGCCCAAGCCTTCGCTCCATGAACTAAGCCTCAGAAAATTTTTCATTAAAAAATCACACAACATTACTTCGAGTTGGGTCATCATCCGGATCACATATACAAACTAGACTCCACAAAAAAAAATCAACAAAATATAGGAACAATTTGAGCTATAATAATCAAATTCTTCAAGCCCAATTAATCAAAATAACTTAACCCAAAATATAATGCTTAAACAACCAAATTATATATACAGCAATCCAATTAAATATAAAAAATTCAAACCCTAGTTTTAATTCCAACATCTAAAAATAACAAAGAGAGGACTGAGTGCTTCTGAATTGTAATAACATAAACTTTAACCATATCTATAATCCACAAACAGATGACTGCTACATACCAAAATCATCGATAAGTTCATTTCGTAAAACCAAACTCCTTTATACTATCATCACTGTCTAATATCCAAAGAAATTAACACTACAACTAATATTTTGAAGAGATTAAAAATCAACTGTTTGAATCATTGTTGTTCAATTCAAATATAGATAATTGCAGTTCTATCATCCATTGTTAGGTAAAAAAATGAAATGGGTAAAAAAACCAAATGGGTAGAAGCCCTTGTCACCTTGCCAAAAAATACAAAAAAATTTGAAAGAGTTACCTCTTGTGATAGCTCTCAACAATTTTCGCAATCGACTAGTTAAATAACGATTGAATCGATAACAAAAAGAGGAACTAATGAAGATAAGGAAAACATAAAAACGAATTGGGGTAGACTAAAGAGAGCAAAACTTGACTGAAGAGAGGAACTTCCGATTCACAACAAGAATGACATGAGGGGCCAAAGAAATAAAGGAAGTCTAAAAAGATGAATGAAAAGTCGAGACCAAGAGTCAAGAAGTGTTCTCCTAATCTAATGTTATATTTATGAAACATACTCACATGTTCTTCTAATATATAGAACTATACCTATAACTTTACAGGGGGGGCAATTTATAAAAATATTCAAAAATTTTAAAATATTACCTAGACCCCAAAACTTTCTAAAATTCCAGTGGGGGGCAGCATAGACACAAGAATACGACATTTCTCAACAAAATAGAACACAGACACATTGAAAAGATGCAATAGATAATTACGTTTTATATATAAAATCATATGATTTATCACACATTGATAAGGATATATTATTCACAAAAAATTCAATATTTCATGGTAAGTAAATGTTATATCTAATAATTGTAAATTTTTGAACTAACATCCTAATAGTTATTAATTACTAATTTTTTCATGTACTAAACATATATAATTTAAATGATTACTCTCATTTGTTCTATTGTCCTTTTTCAAATCTGAGTATATCTTTTACATGTGTTATCATATTTTAAGTACAACTTTAACAAATCTTAGTCTTAAAAATTATATGTTATCTCATAGTATAAGATATTCAGTAGTCAAATTTTTTATTTTTGTTAATCACATGTCAACACAGGTTTATTATTTAGTAAAAACACTGTATAAAAAAGTGTTAGATACATCGTAAAAAAAGTGTCAGATACATCGTCAAAAAAGTGTCGAACACATGTCTAAAAATTTTATCATTTAATTATAGATACCGATAAAAGTATCGAACCCGTGTCCAAAGAGTGGTGATGTTGACACGGATACACCACCCTCTTGAGCTTGTCCATGCTCCATAGATTCCGGTTCATTAGGTCTCCAAATTATGTGCAAATCTCATTTTTCACACATCAAAGCCCACAAGCGGCACAATGAATACTCAACTTGGTTCAAATTTGCCAAATTTTCAAATTGAGAGGATCCAAATCCTGATCCACTTCATCTGCCCCACACACACACACACGCACACGCACACGCACACGCACGGACATACAGAGAGAAAAACACCAACGGACATACAAAAATTTCAATTGCCAAGTAGAAAAAAATTAAGTATAAGAGTGATAGAGTTACCAGATTACTTCCATCAAGGAGGATGGGAGTGTCACAGAGGAGAAAGTATAGTTCCTTTTTGGTGGAGTAAACCACCGGAGATACGGACCTCGATATGATCTCCGGATAATCCGACGGCAGGAATTTCTCCCACACGCTGTCAAACTCGGCGGCCGACTTGAACGCCGATGAGATCGCCGATGCCCTGCCAGCATCTCTGGGTGATGTCAATGCTATTATCTCCGATATGCAACCTTCCGGCAATAACGAGAAACCCGATACCCCCGATACCCTATTCATCTTTCTCTTTCTCTCTTTCGAATTAAAATGAAACCGAGGCGGTGGGATGTTTCAACCTCGGATCTGTAATATATAAAATAAATTAGGTCAGTTGTTCTCAAATAAACTCCGTCACCAATATTTCTTCTTACTTGCATTGTGTGGCTTACGTTAGTGTACATACAATGGAAGATGCTGTGTAGATTTAGAATAAANCCCCCCCCCCCCACACACACACACGCACACGCACACGCACGGACATACAGAGGGAAATACACCAAGGGACATAGAAAATTTTCAATTGTCAAGTAGAAAAAAATTAAGTATAAGAGTGATCGAGTTACCAGATTGCTTCCATCAAGGAGGATGGGAGTGTCACAGAGGAGAAAGTATAATTCCTTTTTGGTGGAGTAAACCACCGGAGATACGGACCTCGAAATGATCTCCGGATAATCTGACGGCAGGAATTTCTCCCACACGCTGTCAGACTCGGCGGCCAACTTGAACGCCGATGAGATCGCCGATGCCCTGCAAGCATCTCTGGGTGATGTCAATGCTATGATCTCCGATATGCAACCTTCCGGCAATAACGAGAAACCCGATACCCCATTCATCTCTCTCTTTCGAATTAAAATGAAACCAAGGCGGTGGTATATTATCTCTTTTAATAACTTCATCTGATGATTTCGGACGGTGATCAACATCGCTTCTTACGTAACTTCAACCCCAATTACGCTAGTGTATATATCATGGAAGAGGCTGTGAAGATTTAGGATAAATTATATCCTGACCCCTAAAGTTTGTCACTTAGATAGATGGATCCCTCATATTTGAAAAATTACACTAAGATCCCCTGTCATTAACCGTCAACTAACCTGCCTAACAAAAATTGCAAAAAGACTATTTTACCCTCTAATTACAACTAAATCAAACTAACTACTCGAATCCAAACACTATTCACAAAAAACCGACCAGCAATCTGCCTCTCGACTCGGGGAAAATATTCATTATAATGGTGATATTACATGATAATGTGATATGAAATCACCTACTAATAATATTAAAACAAATAAGTAAATAAATTTCATAAAAATTAATAACCAATTTGTCATGTAAGTAAAAAACTCTTCACTCTTCTTCGATTCTTCTTGAATTCATTTAGAATTTTATTGTTAATTAATAATATCGTATCATCAATAATGACATGATAAGACTCTTGCATTCAATATTTACTCCTTGACTTGACTCTACTCTCACAACTCAAAACTGAAAACCTACAACTCTGCTGTTGTAACCCCATCCCCTCGTCCCTGCAAAACCATACCCTCACGTCTCAAAACTGAAAAACATCTCAAAACACAAAACCTATGTCAATGTGGATTCATCATTTTTTTTTTATTTTTTAGTCTTTAATTTTTTATAGGGGTGTCAATCGTGTCGTATCGTATCATTTTCGTGTTGTGTCACTTTCGGTTGTGTTATTTTTGTGTCGTATTATTTTCGGTATGTGTCGGATTCGTGTCAATATTCGTGTTAATAAAAAATTATTTAATCTGACAACAACTAATATAATACTATTTAAAAATTATAAAATTCTTATTTTCTATCTACAATATTCGTTAAATAATTATTTTATATCTACAGTATTCATTAATCGTATTATTCGTGTCGAATCTTAATTTGACTCATTTATTACTCACGTCAACTAATCGTATTATTTTTGGGTTTGTGTCGGGTTTATGTTAACGGAAAAAATTGGTACCCCTAATTTTTAAGTTCACTGTGATTTTTTTATTGTTGTTAATACATCATTTTGAAGTTGTTGTTAATTCTTTTTTATGTGCATTATTTTTTTCTTGATTTACATTTTGTTATTGATTTTGAGATTTTATTTGTAGTTCACTGTTATTAATATTGTATACTGTGTATGTTCAAATGACAGTTTTTTTAATTTTCAAATGTTAACAAGAGATTTTTTTTTTTTTTTTGTGCAAGTATAAGAATTAGACTACAGTGGGGGTACCGGCTAAACTTCTTACCCTAAGGCTGAAGATTCGAGTTTTAGAGTCCACATTGGGGATCGGTAATTGACCACTATGCTAGTCGATCTAGGTCCATTCTCGAGAGGTGTAATAAGCACTAAAGAGGATCTCACGATTTTATTAATGAAGGCCTATCGGACAGTGTTATCAGGACCGGATCGGACCAGTTCAACCATAACCCAAGATTTTAACCAATTCGGTTGTCTAATTAGACCACTTAAGGAAGATACTCGACTCAAAACCGCTAAATCGGCCAGTTTTTGGCCAAAACCGTAAATCGGCTGATTTTTGAAAACCGGATGGTTCAAGTTCCACAGGTTATATAAAAAAAAATCCCACTTTTTGGGCCATTTTTTGTCTTCACTCCTCCAGGCAACGAACAACTCCAAGCAGGCGAACAGCAACAGCTCTCTACTTGATCTTGATTCCTTCTAGATCTGGACCTTCTCCATTCAATCTTTCTCACTTAGTCGATCTGAGTCATGATTAGAACCCAATACCCATTTCAAAGCTAATCCTTCATCAGGAGCTCGATTGGAGATTTCATTAGTTGTGGTTGATCGTCCATGCGGCTTTAATGGAGCTTCTTAAGCTATGTATCAGAGAGGGAGAACTTGAGCTTGATTGCAATGGAGGTCCCGAAAAATCAAACTTTGCATCGACTGTACTGTGTGTGTGCAAGGGTTTGAGAAAGGGACAAAAGGGATGGATTAGAGAGAAAAAGAGAGATGTGTTTTGATTAGAAAAAGAGAGATATGTTGGGTCTGATCTAACGAGTTGAATTGGAGATTGAGAGAAAAAGAAAAGGGAAAAAAAAGGACGAGACTTATTTTTTGTGGGTAGGACTTAAGTTTGGTTTTTTTTTTTAGTTGGACGTATATTTGGTTTCTAATTATTATACAATAACAAAAATATCTCTCATAGATCAAAATATAATGAGTGACAAACCTTAAGGACTATAGATGCAATTTATATTATATTTTATAATATTTATAATTTTTTTGATTTTTTTATTATATGACCGAATAGACCAGTTCACCCAATTGTTGAACCAGTGAACTATTGACTTAGTCCTCCTACTGGTTCAATGATCGATTTGGTTCTGATAACATTGCTATTAGGTGGTCTCTGGTCGTTTCCCTTTGCCCTCACACCTTCTTTTAACCAGCCAAAAAAATAAATAAATAACCTCATTGCTTAATAACCTTTATCCCATTGAATTGTAATCTAGCTTTACTGGGTTCCAACCATTTTCAATTTTGTAGTTTTTTTTTCTTTCCCTTCTTACTAAACATGTAGGGGCTGTTTGTTTTGTAGGTTTTTGTGGGGGTGTAGGGGGCTTTGGAAGATAGGTTGGGGATAAATAGTCCAAATGAGGATGAAAACCGATGTTTAGTTAAACATTTGAAGCCTGGGTTACCAAGTCCAACCCGCTACAAGGCCAAAACCTTAAACCCTAGATCATGGGTTGCATTAGAGTTTCGGACGAGGGTTAACAGGTATTGACTATAAAAAGAAGATTATACCCCCCAAAACCCTATCAACACTCCATTGCCTAGGAAATCCACTGATCAACAAAGCTTGGGAAATCTGTGGGAAAGACAGGTGCCTGGGAAAGGGAGGACGCTTGTCTTCTTCGCTAACAACGATCAAAGCAATCAATGGAGGAAGAAAATTGGCAGAGAGATTCACGCAGCATGGAGATCGCTGGGGAAGGGAAAAAGCTTGTCCTCTCCTCTGTCACCGATAAAGGAAAAACAATGGTTAGGGATAAAGTTGCAGAGAGATTCTTCACTGTCCAAGACAATCACTGTTTGAAGATGCTTCGATTGGGCTATAAAAAGCCCTCCTGTTCTTCGACAGAAGTACATTAGCAGAGGTGAGTCCAATTCTTTTTGCTTCGTCTCTCTTCTATTTTCTTCTCTTCTTCGCTAAATCTGAGGGCTAGGTTGGGGGGTGGTCTAGAATGATCTGAACTTTGGTTTATGGTTTTTTTTTTTGGGTAATATCTTCAACTTTTTTGGTTCTCCATTTGTGAAATTTCGATTGAAAATGTGTTTTGTAGTTTGGCATTTAAATTGAGCATTTGTAAGGGGGGAGCCTGTACTAATCCGACCATCTGAGATTTGGAGGTTAGTGGAAAAAAATTATTAAATATGGTTTTTCTTCATAGCTTCATATCGATGTCTATCTATGTTAATCAATAACCTACATGAAAATGAAAAAACCCTAGACTTAAAATTCTGCATTCATGCTTTGATAATTGTTTTGAAATATTTTACCAAAAAATGGGTTTGCTTCGAACAAATGATGCAGTCTTTCCTTAGCCCCATCAATAGCAAGAAGGTGTTCTGTCTTTGTTTGGATCATCTGCATTTCATATAAACAGAAACACTTACAATTGGAATAAAGAATGTGCTTAATGAAAGTGTAGAAGTTATTCACGTCCAACCGGAATAAAATCTTTGTTATTTATCAACATGTGTCAGGTGCACTAGATGAAAAAGCTCTGGCCGTGAAATATGCATGTAGCCCAGTGGGATACAAAATTTATAAGATCAATAGTTGTTTTCAATTATCATGGAATGTAGATTATTTCATATATTGTGTCTTATGGTATCTAATAGGTTGTTTAACTCAATGCATTTTACCCCCTTTGACCTAACACATTAAGTTAAGAATTGGCTTTTATTTGTAAAGCTACAAGTAGACTTGAAATGTTTTAACATTCGTGTGTTTTATTTTTATTACGAGATTGGTATTTCTACAAGGAGTTTCATGGATGTGGTGGTCATTTGGACAACTCCTGAGGTTTTTATTTTTGTTTTGTTCTTCATTAAATATGGGACTTTGATATTTTCGTTTGTTGTTCTACATAATATTGTGTTTGTAGTATGAGGTTCCATTTGACTATATGTACTACCCATACGCATAAAACTCAAATTTCAATTATATTCATGAGTTCAATGAAAAAGCGAAAGACACGGTGATTCATGTTTGTACGTGAACTTTTTTTTTAGAACTATATTTTATTTTTTATGTTGCTTAAATGTAAGAATGTAACTTATGTAAATTGTGTTATATGAGTTCAAAGTTGTGTTGGGCAGCTTCCTAGCCATATTTGCATCAAAGTATAGCTTTCAGACACACAGTGAACACATCCACACACACAAGATGAGGAAATACAAACACGCACAAACACACAGACAAATATAGAAAAACTATATATTTAATTTTTTTGCCACTTTATTTTGTAACTATTAATATTGATACGTTGGATGTTTTTTATGTTATTATTTCAGTGACTATGGCTCGTAAACATGACAATGTAGCAGCTATGCTTGTTGCTCTTAATACTTTAGTCAAAGAGTTCGATATTATTTGTACTTGTATTTTGATGGTTATGATTGCATTATGGGCCAATGAAAAGCAAAAGACACGGATATTGACTAGGTTAGTCGATAGGTTCCATACACAAAGTGAGTATCTCCATAGGCTTATCGAAGAAAGTGATAGAACATGCTTAGACCAACTTAGGACGGATAGACATACATTTTATGTGTTGTGCTGCC